AAAATAAAAAATAAAAAATAAAAAATAAAAAATAAAAAGAGAGAGAGAGAAAAATGGAATTTTAACATTCAATTGTAATGAAAACAAGAATAAATATGAATTCTTGATCTTATGATTCATGATCGCGTTGAGACAAGTATTGACTTAGCTGTCTGACGTGTATAAACAGGCGACGAGCTGCAAAAATATTTGAAAGAACTTAAACACCTGTGATGGGATGATCCAAAGACAAAGTGCAAAGCAAGTCAATTCATTTGAAGATGAAGCCGTTCACAGGAGTTTGGATTTTGCTCATTCTCTACTTCACCATCCAGACAAATGGACAAGGTTTGTGAAGGATGGAAATTAATATTTTTCTTAGAAAGGTTTTAAGTTTTGGCGTATTTCACGTTCCAACTGCTCCCAAAAACAGCTAAATCTCGTGTCATCAACTAGAACTCGCAATTCGTGTACCGCGTATGAGCTATCATGATTGCGGACTGGAAAAACCTTTTCCAAATTTAAAACAAACAACAACAACAACAACAAAACAAACGAAAAACGAAACAAAACAAAACAAAAAATATCGGTGTATTTTTGCCCTTGCCGTTCGATGACGAAGCCGATTGTGATACAATCTTTAGATTCGACTATGAGTATGAGTTTTCAACTTTTAAATATTGGCACGATCATTTCGTACATAGCCGTGGTCGTGTACGTAGATTGATGATGACGACGATTATGATGGTAATGATGATGACGATGACGAATATAACCGATAATGGTAGTGGTACTGATGATGATGATGACGATGACGACGCATATAACCGATAATGATTATGGTGGTACTGATGACGATGACGATGATGACGAAAATAACCGATAATGATTATGACGGTGCTGATGATGAAGACGACGATGAAAATAACAATAATGATGATGATCGATGGTCCTGATGATGACGACGACGATGACAATAACAATGATGACGATGATGATTGATGGTACTGGTGATGATAACGACGATGACAATAACAATAATGATGATGATGATCGATGGTACTGATGATGATGGAGACGATAACGGATTATGGATTAACTATTCTTTCTACACATAGATCCTTGTGCCATTTCTACATCTCAACCCAACACCAATCTTCAATGTATAAAATTCTCAAGCAACAAATTTTGTTTTGTGAGCTGTAAGAGTGGCTTCAAGTTTTCCAGACCGGCCACCGATTCGTACGTCTGTAACTATTCAACAGGCACATGGTATGAAGGTACTGGGAGTAACCAAGCAACGTGGCCAGACTGTGTTCCAGGTAAGCGCAACATTTGAAGTATAGATAAGACTAGAACCGAGTTTACATAGCCTCCCTACCCAGGACTTTGGCAGTGGGAGCGTAAGGTTTAGGATTGAGGACTAGTCGTTAATTGGTTAATATATATTTTACGTCATTAACTACAAATCATCCAACTATGAGTGGTTCTTTCTTAATAACCATAGATAAAGGAGCGGAATCCATTCCGCACTCTAATAACTATGTTCTTAACAGTATTGCAGTATTGACTCTGGTTTCCAAATGGCCCATGATAATGATTACGCTTTTTCTTAGGGGGAGGGGTTCTTTCTTACAGTGGCTATAGTTTCCTTGTCATTCTATGGAGGATCTCAAGATTTTTTTTCCCAGAGTAAAAATTGAATCGCGCGTACCCACTTCTTCAATTTGCGCGCGCAATTCTTTAGACGCTACTCTGGCTAACAGTTTCTAATGTGTATATATTTAATTTTCAGAATAAAGAAGGCTAATTGCGAGCAACTTTGACTTGTGGCCGTGAAGGACAAATAATGACTGATACGAAAAAGCACACTGAATAAATAAAATGTATTTGCTTTAGATGACGTATTTAGTAATGAGTCTATAGAAACAGCTCTTTGAAGTGAATTAATAAGAGAAAACTCTTGAGAGAAAAATATGGAGATAAGGCTATCTTATGCGTATCTATATTCATCAAGGGGTGCGTAAAAAAGCTGTTACCTTTCCTGGTCAAGTGGTATGCAACGCTGTTATCAAATCCTCTAATTTCACAAATGGATTTCTCGTCAATAGAGATACGTATATCTTTCATAAGAGGTGACAATATTTCCTGTAGCATCCAATAGCGCTTTAATTGAAAAGTTCTAAATTGGATCGGTAATATAGAATTCGGAATTTAATTCGTTTTCCATGGAACGCGATTTAACGAAATTTTATGATCTGAAATCCAAGATGGCCGCCGTCAAGCGATTCTACAAATAAAATCTACACAGGGAATATATGGTGAACAGAAGAAAGTCCTTAACAGAAAAATAAATATATTAGTATATATAAAGGGTTTTGAATGTATGACTTCTGTTAGAAATCAGAATGATAAGATTGAAAAGAAGTTCAATAAGTGATCGTACTGAGCACTGAAGCATATTACAGGAGAAAGACGAGAAATAGACTATTGTTTTCACTTGGGTGGTCCCAAAACGTGCCCTGTGGCACTCCCTTTTGCGACCTTAAAACACTAGAAAACACTTGAATTTATAGATGAGCTGATAAAACCTGCTCCATCTGCTAGGAATCTAGGCGTAAGTTTGACACTTACTTTCATTTAATGACCATATTTCTAAGTTATGCAAATCTGCCAATTTTTACCTAAGAAATATAAGTAAAATAAGGAAGCATCTTAATAAGGACTCTACAGAAACTCTAATACATGCTTTTCAGCTCTAATTAAACTTGACTTTTGTAGTTCTTTGCTCTATGGACTGCCTGCATGTCAATTACAGAAGATACAATTGCTTCAGAGCACTGTCGCGCGTATTGCATCTTTAACTAGAAAATATGATATCAGTCCAGTGTTACAATCTTTGCATTGGCTGCCGATTAAATACAGAATCATTTTTAAGACTTTACTTCTTGTTTATAAAGGCCTTAATAGATGGCTTAGCACCATCCTGTATAACATATATACTTAGTTATAAGACCCATGCTCGGGCTCTGAGGTCAGCTTCTGAGAATTATCTAGAAGTTAGACGAACAAACACCAAATCATATGATAATCGGGCCTTCTCTATTGCTGTCCCCAAGTTCTGGAACGAGCTTCCTTTAGCACTGATGGAGTCTTTAAAAGTGCCTTAAAGACCCATGTAATTAGAATAGCTTATAATTCATAGTTTTTTCTCTAGGTCAAATTTTATCTTTTTCTTATCAGTGGTAATATAATGTAAAATATAGGATTGTACTCGTTATATTTTTATATCCGATTTGGCTTTGTCGAGAAAATACCGAGTTTGTAAATAAGTAGTTTATTTGAGATATTATTAGTATTGTAAAGCGCTTAGGGCAAATAGTGAAATTAGCACTATAGAAATAAAGGTTTATTATTATTATCATTATTATCAAAGACAATTAAATTTTTTTTGACTTTGCATCGCGAATCCAGACAAAATACGCAGTCTTCAAAGAAGAATCTTACAACATTTGTTTCTTGAAAAGAGAGTGACATTCAAACTAATTGCTGGAAAATACTTTGACATCATTTGATTTAACCCATAATTTGTGTCAACGACAGTTAATTCCCTATTTGCAATTGGAATAAATACACAAAAGCTCGCGAATCTAAAATATTTTTTCATTTGAACACAATGCTCATAGAAGAGTCTTCATTTCTGTTCGATATTGCTATTTGCGCTCTTACACGTCACACGAGCCTGTACAGTGGTGAGATACCATTCTCGAGTCAAAATTAAAATAATTATTCCCCTTAAACTTATTACAAAAAGAACCAGAAATTTCCTAATCCGTAGGAAGCCAAATTACTGAATTATTGGCAGACGCATCTAGCCCTTAATTATCTAAAACAAATGACTGAAAAAAAATTTAGTTTAATTTAAAAGTCCTTGTTTATTGAAAAGCAGTTAATTGAGCGTGGTATTAATGGATTTAGGAAGAATAGAAGGATTTAGTTCGTGAATTAGGAATAAGCCATTGAAAAGTGGCCCCAGCGGAGCCAAGACTTTTAATAGCAAGAGACTATGAGAGACATGATTTTATATTTATCGTTTAATTGTACACACTTTATGCAAGGAGTTTTACACAAATATGTTTTTCTAAGACATATTTGTAAAAAATTTAAAAAATCTAGCCTAAAAAAATTGAGCGAAAAACTTGGAATGGCAAAGGACTCAAGGCGGAATCGGATATTATGGAGCGAAAATGATACTATGGCGTGGAAAAACGCTAAAATAACTAGATACTGTGACTCTTAAATGGCTTCTATATTCAAGCACTGTGATTGGACGAGGTATATTTTTATTGTGTTTCTTGAAATAAATTAACCTTTATTACAACATTAATATCAAACACTTAGAAATACATATTTATAAGTGATTATTATATCTATCTATAAGTCATTTCTATATCCATTAAAAATAAAAAAAATTGCTTTAAAAAAATTTAAATTAATGAATTATGTAAAATAATTGAATAATTGATATTAAGTTATACATAATTAATTTGAAATTACGAGATTTATTGTGTTTTGATTGGTTTAGAGCGAAAGCCAATATAGTGTTATCGAAAGGCACATTTTTCATTGGGTAGCAAGGGGTGTAGCGTTAGTTTACTCGCTTCTCACCTCTGGGGTCCCGAGTTCGATTACTTTGAGCTTTGAGAATACTGTTGTTAGGTCTCCCTTGGATTCTAGCCGTGCCCTGATTTTGATCAGCCCAGAGGTTGTTTCAGGGTTCTGATAAAATTCTGAAAGACTTTCAGGTCTCATTCATGATCCCCCCCCCCCCCCCCCATAGATCAGAGATTAAATCTAAAATAATCAGGACGACAAAAAATATATCCTGAATCTTTACTTCAGCTACTACTTAGAAATCACAAAATTCATGTTGTTTGTCTAGGATCTTTCCGATTTTTACCATTTTTTTCTGATATCTACATCACTAGGAGCAATAATCGATAATAGATCTCATTGTACTTTCTTTTTCTCAACACTGTTTTGTACATCTTTGAAGTGATAGGCGCAATAATRAAACCGCATGAATGGGGGGCTGTTTCCATATCTCTCTTGTTAGGATGTTTCCAAGACATCTCAAGATTCACGACCCCAATTCTAAATCCTTCTTTTTTCTTCCGCCGACTATACTACGAAAGGGTTTTCATTTGGAGATATAATGATACAATTGCTAATGTTTTAGTCCCTATCTTCGATTGTTAGGAGATATCTCACGGGCAAGATTCGCGACCCCAAATCTATTCTAAATCCTTCTTTTTTCTTCCGCCGACTATACTAACAAAAGAGCTTTCATTTAGAGATATAATGATACAAGTGCTAATGTTTTCAGTGAGCCTCCACACCAGCATGCTATGCTACGAAAAATGCTACGCATGCGCAATCAAGTGCCATTGCGTTACCCTGTTATGAAAGCCACAGTTTTATCCATACATGAAATAGCATTWAAAAATATCACTATTTTGAAATGAGAATTTTCAACTGAGAATAATTTAAAAAGTTTTCGTGGAAAACGCGATCAAACAATTGTATTTTCTTGTAGTATCAAGCAAAATGCGGGTTATATTTTGCTCTTTCAGATTCTCTCAATTTTTTCCAATTTGATGGTCTTCTTGTGCACACACAAAAGCGGGCCGAGGAGAATCCGCTTGAGAGAAACCAAATTTTTTTCCTTTATTTTTTTGAAATATGTTTTTAAACTTTATACACACAGCGGTAATTTATTACTGAGGGGGGTCTCAAAGTGTGGGATCCAAACAGTCTACACCTCCCAATATCACTTCTAAGCGGCTTCAGTGTCAATTATAGTTACCGAACTATATCAGTAACATGCGTTCTACAGAGACAATAACGCAGTCATCTAGCTGAGAAAGATATTAAAAATATCAAAGCTCTGCTTTGGTAACATCTGTCTAAAAAGACATCATAATTTAATGAGATTTGGAATTTTTTGCGTTTTTCCCCTGTGTTACTGTACTCGGAAAACCATTGAAAGATGCTTGTACATTGATTAGAAAATTCTCTTGTTTCGATTAAAAATAATCATAAGTTTATTATTGTCGAGAGACTTAGCGCATACATTTTTTTTTTGTAATTTTAAGATTTTAAAAGAAAATGGATTAGATTAAAGTACTGAATTCGAGTGAGTTTAAATTGCCATGCATAAAAGAATCAAGCGAAGATTACCATTCCATGCGCGATGTAAAAATTTACCTAGAATACGTAAAATGGAACGGTTGACTCTTTTCGGACGGAAAATCTAAGAAATTAAGATTGAAATTTATTTTGACAATGAACTGATATAATAATAAGAAAAACCAGCAAAACACAAAATGATTAAGAACACAAATAAAAAACAAAACAAAACAAAACAAAACAAAAATCAAAACTAAAAAAACAAAAAAACAAAAAACAATACATACAAAAGAAAATAAACAAACCAACAAACCAAAAAAAAACCTTTTCCCTATATGAAATTTTCGAGCGTTTAACGAGCGCATTTTACATCAAATCTTAGATATTATTTCTTATTTCTTTTTTTTTCTTGTGTCATTAACGTTATTGGCTACGAAAATGCAAGGAACACCGAAAGATTGTTGGTTATCCGTTATCAATCGTACTTCGTGTCAGGCCGACGCACTTTTGATTCTAGAATTCATCAAAAAATTAAAACCAAAAAAAAAAAAAAAAAACTTTTTTGAATATTCTCAAGTATAAAATATTTCAAAGACTCTCGAACTGAAGTTTCTGTTGGAGTCGGCTTCTAAGATATTCCATAGCCCGCAGGCAAAATTTAATGCTTTGAAGTTTAACGACTGTAGAATTTAATTACAAAAGGGTCAGTTTTCGAAGCCCTATCTTAGCTGAACTTCCTGAATTTGATAAATAGCGAGGCCTAAATCATTTGAAAAACACTAATGAATTAATAAAATCATCTGAAAAACGTCCTCAAATCAGTAAAATAGTAGGCACGTGCGTCATATTGTGTCATTAGCGCGTGAGTTTTGGCAAGACGCTTGAGTTATTCTCCGTAGTCCATCAGTTCCAATCTACGCGTTTTTTTTTCCGTGTTTGTGTTTGTTTGGACTGGAATCTGAAAGCACCACATGAAAGACGGGATTTGTTTAAGTGCTGTAGAGGAAGAAAGCAAGGCAAACAGCAAAATAACACTGTAAAATGGATTCTAAAACGTCGCTGTTGGATGACAACCTGTATGAACTTCGAAACGAACGCATTACCATTAACGTTGGAGGGTTCCGAAACAATACCTTTCTCGAGACTTTGAGAGCCATTCCAGACACAAGACTCTCCTGGATGGCTGAGAATCATCCGAATTGTCCAGAATATGACCAAGTTCTGGGCGAGTATTTTTTCGACCGACATCCGAGGGTATTCTCTGAGGTTTTGAATTACTATCGTACTGGAAAACTGCACTGTCCCGTCGATATATGTTCGAAGCTTTTCCAAGAGGAGTTGTCTTATTGGGGGATAAATGACCGTGATATGGAACCATGTTGTTGGGTTCACTATAAACGACAAATAACCACAGAGGAAACCCTTAAATCATTCCATTTAGATAATGCAAGAAAGGTCGATAGAAGGGAAAGATGGAGGGCTCGGAGACGAAGCAATGCGTTGAAGGAATTTCTCGGCTCGGAAACTCATTTGAAGAGAGGACTACGTGAAAGATGGAACAAACTTCAACCCGCTGTTTGGTCGTTCCTCGACGATCCGCACTCTTCCAGAGCTTCGTGGGTAAGTTATAACAACTGTACAGCTTAAAGAACAACCATGCACTCACAATTATGCTGCTAAATCATCTATTATATAATGTTATATCTACCTATAAAAATAAAAAAACATATAATACGACTGAAAAAACTGGCTGGAAGAAATCTTATGCTCTTTTAGATTAACACGTCTTCGGTAACATGGAATGGAATAATATTCATGAAGGTAGAAAAAAAATGACATAAGAAAAATCTGTGTAAAAAAATTGCAATTGAGCTTTTATTTACCGACAAAAAAACTTGAAATTTCATATTGAAGCTCATTAATATCAATATATATACCAAAGAAAACAGTTTTAAAGCAATTACAATATTAACACATGCAATTGAAAATGAAAAAAGCCAGGTAACAATAGCGTTGTGTGTTATTGAAATGAAATTATCGATTCCAAAGAGAGATAGAGCGCGCTGTGAGTCAGTTTTACAAGGGACGACTATATAACTTTACAAGGGATTCCAACATTCCGGTATTTGGACTATGATAAGAAAAATGCCCAAACTAACAACAAAACAAACAAATACCAATAGAAAACCCAGGTAACAAAACAATTTTCGGTCATATTGTACAAAGTTTGCTCATAGGTGCGAACAGAAAAATTTTGAATAGTGATTCGTAGTCAACATGATGGCTTGCCTATCTGGGTGACTTTTTTTGCACGTAAGCATATGACATTTTGATAAATGATCCGTTAATCCGAACGCTGTACCGCTATCTTTAAGAAAAAACAACAAAGGAATATTTTAGGAGTTAAGGGTTTTTGTTCCAAAGGACAAATGGCAGACTTCTAATTTTAATCCATAAGGGAGACATAAACTTAAAGCGTTATCGAACTAAAAGCAGCGTATTTACATAAATTTTCACCTTTTATGAAAATTAATCCTTTTCAAGCTGAGGACACGGAACCAACTTGATAAGAACACGTATTAAAAATAATTAAACAATACACAAAACACATAAAATTAGACGGAAAAAAAAAACTTTTTTTTTCAGCGAGTATTTTTGGTATTTTGTTATCTTGTTTAGCAGTTGACGCCAAAGACTGAACCGGAACGTATGAAGAGAAAATTCAACTACTTATCAAAGCTTAGCTAACAGCGAAATCCGGTTAAGCTGTATTGATATGTTTTTTTTCTTGTGACAACTGAACGGAACTTTCCCAGAAATATAAGCAAACCAAGTGTAATGAGAGTGACATTGTCTGTTTAAATCTAGAGGTCAAATTTTATAAACCCTTAAATTTGACCCAAAAAATAAAAATTAACTTTGTAAAAATGAACAAATACATTTTCAAAAAGAGGAATTTTGATTCTTAAATGGACCGACATCGCTTTTTCTCGGAGCAGGTGAAATGCAGGAGTATTTTTCTGCAGTTTTTGTTACCTTATGATTACCCTGAAATGTAATTTCTTCTTCGACAGTATTTTGCTTTAAAATATAAAAACATTTTCTCATTTCTCATTATATTCAAAAGCTTTTCCTAATGAAAACGTTCTTTCTTTCTGTGGGGTCTAGAATCATAGTTTGTATTGGAAAGAATCATGAATTTCAATACTTTCCAGTGAAAGTGTGCCTGATAAGGTTTCTTAATTATAGTATGTATAGGTAAGAAAGAAAGAAGACGCAGAGTATCATTAGAACTACCAAGGAATCTTGATCAAATGATTTGGTTAAATATGAGGAAAATATCCATTTACTCAATAAGATCCGATAAAACAGCGTGAATAAAAGAGAGGAAGGAAAAAAGAAAGAAAGAAAGAATTAAAGAAAGAAAGAAAGAAAGAAAGAAAGAAAGAAAGAAAGAAANAAAGAAAGAAAGAAAGAAAGAAAGAAAGAAAGAAAGAATTAAAGAAAGAAAGAAAGAATTAAAGAAAAGTAATTTCAAATTTCCCCTCTTTCGTTTCACCCATGACATTTCAAACAAGATATCACGTGATTCAAAGGGCTAATCTTATCTTCGTGAGGGCCAAATCTTGTCCAAGTTAGTGACAAGTTAGAGTGCATTAAAGTGGAATGCTTTTGGTTTAATGACAAGTTTCATTAATCACGCAATATACGGTTACATCTCTGTCAACACAGAGCGGTTTTCATGTCAGATTGTTTGCTTTTAATGTTACATCATAATGCTGGAAAATTATACTGCATATAATATCGTATTACATTTTTGGAGAAAGTGTCATTTTCGACAATTTTTTTTCTATCTCTATGTTGTTGACCTGAAAAATTGAATATAGCAAAAGGAATAGGAGAGAAAAAAGAAAGTCTAAGGACTGTTCACAAGATTAACTTAGTAAGACGCAATGAGTTTATTTTATTCGCACATCTTCAAGGAAATTTAGAAGAAAAGTAAAAATGAAGAAATAGAAAAAAAAAATTTGAATGAATAAGTTTCAAATATTTACGAGAGTCGGCAAGACTTTTAGTAAATGGCTTTTCAAGTAAGCCACTGGATCAAATTCGAAAAAACTCACGCTAGCCAATCAAAAAGTCTGAACTTGACTCTCAAATGGCTTTCGCTCTGAACCAATAAAGATAAAGAAAACTCGCGCCAGCCAATCAAAAACTCTGAACTCAGTTGACTCTAAAATGGCTTCCGCTCTCAACCAATCTAAATTCAAGAAAATACGCACCAATAAATCTAGCCTATAAATTCCCAATCTTAAAACTTAAATTTGATTTTTATTGGATTCATTAATCTTTATATATTGTAAATTAAAGTAATAAAATCAAAGACAAACCTACTCAACACAAAAGCAAAACAATAAATCTATAACTCATAAACAAAAGGCAATTAAGAATAATTGATCTATATGGACAAACAGGTTGTTTTGATAACTGTGGCCTTAGGGCTTCCCTCCACATAGCAAATATTTCCTATAAAAAACTGTCTTTACGCACGAAAAACGCGTATAATCAGTTTAATCGTTTCGCTTTGATTCGACCTCATGACCGACACATAGATGCCGACTCAAAATTTTTCCATTTCCAAATTGATATTTTAATTAGGTTAATTTATTCAAGCTTTTAAGGTCTAGCTTGTTCTTTCAAAGTCATAATCCTCTTACTAATCTTTTTATTACATTTCCCATGCTTAAATTTATTTTTATTTAATAAAGCGAACCGCAGATTGAGTAGGAGGAAGATTTGATTCAAAACAACGGAAATGACGTCAGAACAACAAAACAGGCGCGAAAAGGACCGAATAAAGCCTATTTAAGGATAAAGTAACGACTGTCGCGAGATAAAATAGGTTCTGGGTTTTGATGGATTTTGGAATCAAACTCTAAAGTTCTAAGCCATATTATATTGACATTAAAAAACAGCACTGCGCATGCCTAGGAAATTGGCGGGAAAACAATCTCGTCCCCAGAGCTCTTATTTCTCACTGCGAGCATAAGTAAGAAATAACGGGAACGAGATTGGCGGTTGAAGTGTCGAATCTGTAAGAAAATTACATACGTTTTGTGATGAAATATTTTTCTTCTTTTTACGTCTTCGTTTCAAGAGGCCCTATTCCCCGCGACTAAAGATTCACTCTAGCCACCCCCTCCCAAGGTTCAATTGACTAACTAAATATTTCCTCTCTCCCTCCCCCTCAGATATTCATTCTTATCTGTTGCCTACTGATCGTGGTCTCAGTAACTCAGTTCTGTCTCGGCACAGTGGCGTCAATACGCGAAGACAAGTCAACCGTCAAGATTCTCGAGTTGTTAGACACCATTACCTCTATCTGGTTTACTATCGAGTTCGTGCTGAGGCTGGTATTTTGTCCAAAAATTTTTCTTTTCATAAAGAACCCGATGAATTGGATCGACTTTATGGCCATTCTACCTTTCTACTTCCGCATGGTTCATCTTGAGGGGACAATATCGTGGCTGATCTTGATGAGAACTTTAAGGATATTCAAAGTGTTTAGTCTTTCGTTCTCGTTCCAGATCCTGTTTCGTTCTCTTATTTCCAGCAAGAACGAGCTGTTCCTGGTATTTGTCAGCTTACTGGTACCTATAATACTCTTCTCCAGTATGATATACTTCGCCGAAAAAGACCAAAATACTCAACATTTTCAAAGCATCCCAGAATCCTTTTGGTGGGCAATTATCACGGTCACTACCGTCGGTTACGGTGACGTATGTCCGATTACCAAATTAGGCAAAGTCATAGGAGCCTTGTGTGCTATTTGCGGCGTTGTCATAGTAGCACTTCCGGTTTCTGTGATTGGTAGTAACTTCTCTTATTATTATATTCAAGCGCGCACGCGCGTCCAGCAGCCAAGACGCGCCAAAACTCAAACGGCGGTCTCTCGGGTACCTGCCAACGTCATGCATCGGCACTTCCCGAGCAGGAGAAGCATGAGTTACTCAGTGAATGGTAGCGTCCACGGAAGATCAAGTGTTGGAAGAAACAGAAAAATAAACGGTGCTGCTATTGTCCGCAAAAGACAGAGACAGAAAGCAGCTTCAGAAAATTCAAACAATTCGTTAGAGTTGACTGAAATGATAGAACAAGAATCAGAAATCTAAAAGTCAGTCAAAACGAATTTTTCTTTGTGTATGTGTGTGGTTTTGTAGCTCAAAGGATTTACATGGCTTGTAAATGAAATAAAAGAGTTTAAATTACTGCAATGCCTAAATATTTACTCTTTTTTCTTTGAAATTAAGTGTTTTACGAATCTGAAAAGCAACGACTGATAGCACGCATAAGGTAGTACAGACCGCGCGATAAGAAGCTGACGAACGTTAGTGAATACGGAGCCTTTCAACATGTTACCGGAACCCTCCCTACGCAGTTCAAAACCATTGACCACGCCCTTTCGTTAACCACAACCTAACGGGTCGAACTGAAAACATGTTTTTAATATCGAGGTTTAACTTCCACAGATATCGCTCCTTATTGCCGGCCTTAAACTTTCTCAACGAATATACATATCTACGGTCTTCGTCGTTTCTTTATACTGTGCATCTAATGATTCTGATTCTTTGCGAAATAAAGGGAAAAAAACCGGTTCGAGTTGGCATTGAAGCGCATCTTGGAACTGTACTGTGGGACGAAATATAGACGCCATCTTGGAAATATGTCCCCTTAAACAGTCCCACAATGCACTGCAATTCCAATTCGACATTGTTTTCCCCTCAACATCAGAATCGCTAATACGGAAGCTTGAAATGTCATTCATACGATAGTCATTTCGCATAGAACTGTGGGTTTGAATTTGGTATAACAAGATGGCGGCTACATCTGGCCCCATGATTCCACGCGGCACTAGTTCGTTACCAGTCCTTGTCCCGAAATCGGAAAACGTAAATTTAAACAAATTATAATAATAAATCTTCGATAGTATAGATTATCAATATAAATATAGACAGTTGCTATGGAGATAGCCAAGTGGTACCGGTTAAGATTCTTTGGGTGAGATGATTGACGGCGGTGTGACTGGAAATCCATTCTCTTGTAAAGCACGAATAAGATCACCATATCTATGGAAGATAATCAGAGCAGAATGTTAGGGACTCGCACTTACAGGTCACGTGACCCTACCCCTATTAAAGCAAGGAGTTAGATCAAAATGAACCTCAGAAACAAAAAGAGCATCTTGATGGTAGTAAAAAATTGAAGTTTCTAATCGTAATTCATGGCTACGTTCCAACTCCACTATATATGTTACTAATGAGCTTAACAAATTAGCTAAAATACGTCAGAATTATTATTTTTTAAAAGACTCACAGGTAGCCCAAGCTTGGTTTCTGTGGTGTGATTCTTAAAACGGGCTAAATTCAAAAAATAACCACGCAGAGTGAAAGAAGTCCTATTTCTCAATGGTCGGGTAAAACTTCGAGGCTTTATTTCGCGTTTAGATGATTTTATTGAAATTTTTGATGAATCCCCATACATGCATTTCCTTATAACAGGACACCACAGAAACCAAGCTTGGGCTACCTGTGAAAGACTTTGCTGACAGAAATTTGATTTCAAATTGTATCAATTGTTTACTGTCCCGTGAAAATAGACGAAAATTGCCTCTTAATCCCTGTAGTACTCTTTATAGACCCTAAGGGACAAGTTTAATTCCACGCAGCGAGAAAACGGATATAACAGTGATTGGTTCGTCGTAGTTGGAATCATGAATGTCAAATATAATTAAAAAATCCATTAAATATAAAATCGAATATTTCATAAAGAATTGTATGGAAAACGTGTTGGGTGGCAAGTCCTTGCCATCTACTAAAATCCAGCAAAAGCGGTTCAACCATGCATAGTTTAGTACAATCATACTCACCCTTTTCCTTTGAGGAGATCAAGGAACATGTAAAACTGTTTAAATGATGCTTCGATACTCTCAAGAAAGCGATCGTCTTCCAGCAGTGTCTTGCCGTTTTCTACAGACGAGAAATGAAATATTGGTAAGAATGACATTGATAGCGATGATAAGCAAATGCGATAAGTAGAATAGTGAATGGATGGAATGGATGAAACGATTCATCATGGGAAGACTGGATGAATGGATAGAATTGGTGGATGGATGGGAGAAAGACGGACGGACAAATAGATAAATGGAAGTAAATATGGATTAAAAGGAGTTTAGATGGACGAAAGGAGGAATTGATTGATAGATGAAAGGATTAGAATGGAAGGGAGGCAGTAAGGAATGAAGGATATATGGATGTAAAAAATATATAAATATACCTCTGCCATTTGTTCTGGGTGCCTCATCAAGCGGTCGAGAAGATGGCTGTAACGACAAGAAGGATTATGTCTTTTTACTGCCTTTCATATTATGGAATTATTTGGACAGCAAAAACATTAGCTATAAGCCGATTCGAGGTGGAGAAAAAAAACAACTAGCATTGCAGTGCTTTGTGGGGAAATAGACGCCACCTTGGAAACATGTCCCTTAATACAGTCCCACAATGCACTGCTATGCTGGCTAACTCGACCCAGTCTTTCCTCAACCACAGCACAATGGCTTATGATCAATACACTTTAAGAAAATCCCATCAATTTCAAGAAAATACTGACAAGAATCGGACAAGAACCCAATGTAACGCGATCCCTACCTTTTCATCAGAGGATCGCTGCTTTGCCTTGTAAAGCCTTAACTCTTGTTGAAGTCTTCTGTTTTCTACTTGTAACTAAAACCAAAATATATGTTAACAACATGAAGATATTTCTATAACAAGCGTGACACCGTTACCGTGACGACGATGTGTCTGGTAGCATGCACTGGCTTACCTCTAATATTCTTGTGTCTGCAGAAGCCCTTGCTGTGCTTTCTTCATTCAATCGACGGCAAAGGAACTCTATCTCAATCTACAATACCGTTTAGAAGCAAACATAAATCATGATGATTGGATAGAATACGTGCAGTACTACAGAGGAGAGTCTGTTTTTGTATGCGTACGGTTTTACAATAGTCTCTTTCTGTAAACCTGCGTTATGACAGAAGAGAGTCGGAGGAGGGGGCGAAGTGGGGTGGGGGAAGAAGAAGTAGAGTTTTACCTTCAGCTCTTTTGGATCTTCATTTATAGTTCTCGTGTCATCTATAACAACGATTAAACAACGATATTATTAAAAGTTATTGTACAAATAGAAGAAATACTGTAAAAGGAATAAGTAAAAGAATAAGTGGAGTGAAACCTTTATGGATGGATGGTTGGTTCAGATAGATGGATTAAATGGATGGATAGTTTGCATGAATGGAGAAGATGGAGGGAATGGATGGGATGGGGGGATGGATGGATGGATGGTTAGGAGAGGTGGAAGGATGGATGAGAGGGGAGGATAGATGGATGGATGGATAGTTGGTTCAGATATAGATGGATTAGATGGGAGATGAATACATGGATGAGTGGATAGGATGAGGAATGGATGCATGGGATGGGGGATGGATAGGTGTATACAAGTGATGGATGGATGGATGAATGTGTTGAGTTGGATGGATGGAATGCATAGATAGATAGATGTGGGAATGTGATGGGATGGATGGATGGCAGGGATGGATGGATGGAAGGAAGCAAGCAAGGAGGGAAGGAAGGAAGGAAGCAACAAAGCAAGGAAGGAAGCAAGGAAGCAAGTAGACTTTTCCATCATACCCACCTGAGTCATAGTGCCTGTGTCTTGGTGTCACATCTTCTTCATCACTATTTATGGGTGAACTCACTGCTTTGGGCTCCTCAAACTCTGGCATCTGTCTTTTCTTTTTCTGTTAAGAAAAAAGTAAGGTATAAGGCAGGTAATGGACTGTTTTCAATCCATTAATAGTTGGGGATAATTGAAAATCAAAGTGCTTTCTTGATTTCATAATTACTTACAGACAAAACTTTGTATGGCTGTGTTTCTTCTGTTTTTCGGTCTAATTTGTGTCTGGTGAGGTAAATCATTGGAAATAATCAAAACATCATATTGGGTTTCCTGTGGCACCTATATTACCACAAAGGACCCAACAGTATGGGAGGCTAAAATGAAAATACAAATAGGAAATCACACTTTTTTGATGGAAGTTGTGTCATTTATCTTGTATTCCCATGTTTAGAGACATGTTCTGATTTATGATTTATGATATTTTCCCCATGAGAGCAGGGACACTACAACAGCATAACTACATGTAATTACTGTGGGTCCTGTAGTATTCGCATGGCTCTGAAGATAGTCATCACTAGCATCTCCAGTGGGTCTTCTATGTCTGCCTTAAACAGGGTTATATAGTGAAGACAGACGGGGCCTACAGCTTTAAGTCCTTGTCTGAGAAGACTTGAAGGTCTAACCATTTATAGATTTAGTACAAAAGGCAGCACCTTCTCCTCAGTTATTTTAAGACCCCGAGTGTTGGTCAGGCCGAGGCTTGAACCACACAATAGACAATAGAGACAATAAAAATCAAAGGAGATGTCTGATTTTCAACCAAGCAGAAAGAAAATTCATCTCAAGAAATAAAAGGCCTTCAGTGCCCCTGTTTGACCTGAGAATTTTTTATCAAATGAGATCACCAACCTGTTTTTTCCTACTCTTGCAGCTGTTCTCCATGGCACAAACCCCTTACCAGGCTTCTTAGTGGGTGCTCTCACAACAGGTGATCGGCCTGAAGATGCACTCCTGGTCCTGCTTCCTTGTGAACCATTCCTTTAATCATAGAATTAAAACACAGGTAAGTAGTGGCAAAACTGGCCAGGAATGGACCTCTTTACCTTGGGTGTAATGTTTTCCGATTTCTCACTGCATCATTCTCTTGAATATTATTTTTCATTGGCCTGGTGTTGAAGTCGTTACATTTTTTATTATATTTATTTAATTTTTTTTTATTTGTTTTATTATATAGCTACTAATTTTATTTCAGTATTGAATATATTTACACAAAAATAAAGATAGCCGTAGGATCTAGCAGCACTTCACATGCACGTATGGCATCAGCACTGTGCTCCATTCACTATAATAAAGCACAGTTTTCGACCAATCAGCGCACTCGTACTATACTAACTGTATACAGGTATTACCTAGTTGTTTTTCGTCCATATGCAGTAGATAGTGTACGAGGTCTGGTTCCTTTCTTCAATGGTCTTATTCTACCAGGTTTGGGCTCCTCTATTACTATCCATGGAAACTGAAGTGTCAGGAAAAACCAAACAGATTTTTAAAATAATCTTAACAGGTTAAGCTGCAAAAAATACAACATTGCGGCAGCTGCTAATAGGATTTCTAAAACTTACTTCAGTTTCTTGATCATTAAAATTGATCATAATTTGTTCCATTAAGAATGACATTAAATCTCGATCTGAAATGAAACAGAAATAGCTAATAAGTATTTAATAAGAAGGCGTGTTAAAAATAAAAGCTTGTTTGTCCCTTCAAACTTTCTGAATACTCCTTATTTCAGATTGGGTGCAAATTTACGTTTTCACACTTCAGACCATGTGTCATTCCCTTGAGCATAAGATTCTTTATTTGAGTTGTTATATCTATGCTCAAGTGTCTTCTTATGTGCAACTGTTAAAAAAAGAAATGATACTCTAGGGAATGACACAAGGTCTGAAAAACATAACCACAGCAAAGAGCTCTACAATTACCAAGTACTTTACCTATTAATGGATTTAACCTGAGGTCCAGCACTGTTAGTGTTGTGTTGAATTTTAGAACAGATTGAAAAGCTAAAGCCCCCACTGTTGATATTCCACACTGCTGTAGATCCAGGGCTGAAAAAATGACATGTTACAGTGTATATCTCAGCTATTAAAAAAATATTTGCAGTAGAAAATGATTAACGTTCACAAAATAATATAATTCAAACCCCTAAGTTATCCCAGCTACCATTGATAATGTACAATATATTATACATTTACTTCTAAATACAATTCAGGAAATACAACTTACTAATTAATAAATATAAAACACATTTACTTCTAGTATAGAGTAATATCAATAATTTATTTACCCCAAGAAAGTAATAAATTAAAATTTAAAAAATAAATTAATTTAAGGGGTTAGAGAAGTCAGGTTGCAGTAAGTTATAAGAGCTTTATCACGCACCTTTAACCCACAAATCATCCTTCAGTGCCTCGGTTATAAACTCTACACCTTTATCACCAATCATAGGATTCTTACATACAGTGATTCTTCTAAGCCCGGACATTCTGTCCAGGTCAGGTCGGCGATATCGAAGACTGTCTTGCCATGCTACACCATGACAGCGAGTAGCTTGAAACTACAAAAAATTGAAATATAGCTTCAAAATATCCTCCATTACTTTCTTTCTTAATTTCTTATAAATATAAAAATTACCTTTATGATCTTAGCTATTGTTTCTGCTCCTCTCCATGACAAACTACAGCCAGTGAAATTGACAGATGTGATAGAACGTGATCCCTTTATAGCGTTAGACAACACTATATAAAAATTAGACAGAGATTTATTTTCAGTTCTAATTTTGTCTTTAATGGGAAAATTAAGAATTAAGGATCATCAGCAATGCTTGGGTTACCTGTGGAAAATAAACCACAGGAACCCCAAGCATACATGTGGCAAATCTAACTCTACTGTAAGAGTTTGAACCTGTACTACTCACATTCTAATCCTTTGTCACCAATTTGACAATATTCCAAGGACAGATACTGGAGTGAATGATTCTTTGCAATACCCTATGTACAAAACCAAATTATATTTTGAAATAACTGTTATCAATCTCCTATTCTGATTGGTTGGGAGCGTGTGCATTATGCATTGTGCGTCATTCATGTTCACTTTGCATCATTCTTGTCTTTAACACTTTCCTCATGTTTTGCCAATCCCCATATGCTTCATAACTGCATACAGCATGCTCATGCATTTTCTATATTTAGACTGTGTCTAGTGCATGGTGCATGTATATATTCATTAATTAATTAACAATTATTCGCCGAAGGTGAAGTGAATATCGGGGAATAATTACCGAGACATGAGTCTTCGAGCGGCGAGGTAAATATTCTTCGATATTCACTGAGGCTGAGGCAAATAGTGGTTTTAGTATAAATACACAGGTGATTCTTTCAAAAAAAAAAGAAGATAAAAGACATTTTTTTCGGTAACAGCAACAAAACAGCCGGCTGCCATTTTGGATTATCGCTGGAGGTGATTATCGTGTGATAGTGTGAGTTTCTTGACCAATCAGCGCGTGAGATTTTAAATAATCACCTGTGTATTTGTACTAAAATATATTAACCTTAAAATTGAAAGGATTTTTTGTACCTTTGCTAAGCAGGACAAATCACGTTCTCTCAATGGAATTCCTTGAAGTGTTATATGACTCAGGCTTTCAGTAACAGACAGGCATTCCTTTAGAGTTCTACAATATCAAAAGCAATATGTGATCTGTGCAAGTGATTAATTGATACAAACAGTGCTGCTATGATTTCAGTTTATACTCTACGATGTATCAATCTATCAAATTATATTTTCAATAGGTTTTTGAATTATATTTGATTATAGCTATTGATGACTTGCAAGCATTCCCAACACAGTAAATAACAAAGATCGACGTGGTGGCCATGTTGGTGGTATTGATTGAAAATGGAAGCTAATGAGAAATCTTTTGCAAAATACTACCAAAATGGCTGCAATGGCATAACGTTCAAACAAATGACTTAAGTTTGCATATAAATGTACCATGAAATATTTTGCTGTTACCTACCTGCATAATTTATGGGTAGTGTCTTTGCTTCTGATGGGAGGTGCTTTCTTTTTTAATGCATTCATCCTTTGCTCTGAAAAATCTACCAAAATATTTTTTAGTAAACGTAAACAACATAATATTACAGATTAATATATATATATATTAATTTAAAGAGGAAGATTTCCATGAAGTGTCAAAAAATATTATAAATGTTCAATTAGATAAATTAGTCAAGATTACCATTATCAGGGAATAAAGTTTGCTGCCAGTAACTTCTAAATGCAATACATTTGATACTTTTATTGATCCTCAAAGCATTCCAAATAGGTGTCCAGTCATTCAGCCTTATTCTATCAGCATTACAGTCGATAGTCTGCTCATCAAGGTTAGCTGTAACCGTCCCCAGAGGACACGAGTTCTGTAAAGCGCAAAGATTCTCATAAAAGAAGCCAAAATCTGTGGCGTTTCTTTGTCTTTGACGAACAGTTTCAATCATGGCCATGTTGTTGGGCTTCAGACTGCTTCAAAAAAATTTCAAACTTCAACATAAAATTGAGCTTGTTTCAACACTCCATTGACCAGTGGCACATTCAACTATCATTACTCATACTGTTGAGCAAGATAAACAAGGTAGCAGCTCCTATTATGCAAAAAAAGAGGGGTTTTCTTTGACGTTTGTTCCAAACAATTTCAGTTTTTTTGTAACCGTCTTCTGTTGTTATGTATAACCGCTGTAACTTGATACCGCAGGTAATATACCACAGGAAGCCCGATTAAGTAAAATAAAATAAATAAATAAAGCAAATTTAAAAGCAAAAAAAAGTCACTCTTATTCACCCGCTTGGAATTATAAATTATATAAACCTCCCTTTTCACTTTATTTTATTTTTCAAACTTTTGACATTATCTTCAGTCAGGGGCTTTTCTTTCCCCACCCCTCCCCAGAGAGTTTGTGATATTGAAAAGGTCAAGATAAAAATGTACAAATCAATTTTACATGTAAAACAGAGATGGTTATCACTCTAATATCCTCTCCCGGATTTAAAAGGAGACTTTGCTCGCAGGGTACCCTCCCCTCAGTGATGTTTATGCCTTTTTACTGCCCATAGCAACGGTTGCTATGGGCGCATTGATGACAGCTTTTACACGGGTGGTGCTTACTTTCCTCATTACTCATTGTATCTTTTAAAAACACCCGGTTATTATCGTGGCTCTTACAAGAGATTAAAGCTTGTATGCTAAGAAAATTGGCTGCTACATAACATAATCCTTTGTTTACAAAGTGTATAACTTGCCTTCAACAGAAGCTAGGCGGGGGTCAGTAGGGGTTAAATATTATCCAGAAATCCAGAGGCTTACGGTTCATCATTAGTACCCGTCACTTGAGGGCAATATCTGCTTCAGAGAGTAGCTATACTTATGCGTCAATGATGTTCGTTTGAGCACAGACCACACAGAAAGGAGAGGCGAAGGTAAGTACGAGTCGTGTAGGAGATTTAAAGGTGAAAACCTAAGAGAAAACTGAGAGAACTAACTGTTATTCACTCAGCATGCGACCAGTAGGATCCATCAGTTCTTTGTATAAAGCCCAAACTGTAATCTTCCGTCTGTGTTTGAGTACAAATCCGATTTCCGCTTATTATTGGTCTTAGATGTTACCGAGTTCAAAGAAGGTAAACTATACTAGCTGTATATCAAATATCTATATCCCGGTCGGTCAATCTTGGTTTAGCCAAATGTTCCATGAATTGAACTCGTCAACAATGACCAGCATGATGGCATTACAAGCCTTCTGTTCAAGAGTTTTTTGATGCATTTTTGCTATTCAACTTAAAAATATATAACTTAGTGATTTTTGATGAAAAATATTGAGTACGAGAAAAGAGATCGTTATGTTTTCATGTATGGCCATTTTGTTCTCATTTGAGCAGACCAATATAGTTTACGATCATTAAAATGAGACTCGTTATAGATATTTGAATGGAAAGGTGATAATCATTTAATCAGGCTTTGTTGAGACTGAAGAAAAAAATGGCAGTGTCATTGTGAGTTTTGACGAAAAAAATAATGAAGGAATATCATAAGTGGGTTCTTGGTTTCTCTAAGACATTAGAAAAAAGGGAAAAAAAGGAATAAAAAAGATAGAAAGAATAAAAAAGAGAAAGAGAGAAAGAAATATTGAAAGAGAAGTAGAGAGAGAGAAACATAGAGAGAAAATTAACGGAAAGAAGAAAACAGAAAAATGGAAGAAAGACAGAAAGTTAAAAACACAGAATAGAGGAATGAAGGAAGGAAACCAAAGGAAACAAATAAAAAGGAAAAAGACAAGAAGGGAAACGGGAAAAAGAAAATTATACAGTATAGTTTGCTGAGTATTCTGGGATACAAATGACGTCACCACCCCTTCGCTTACTTTTTGAGCAACGACTTCTGAAAAGTGACTGAAAACTTCTTGTTTTTCCCCTGTAGAATTTCCTCCATTTAAAAAGAGTTTCCCTTACTCTCAGAGGAGAATATAAAGCCGTCTTTAACTATGTCTGGCGAAGAGAAAATGTCAATGACTGACTCGAGTACAGTTCAGCAAAAAAACCGCCGAAGAGGCAGCCTTTTTGAAGTTGGTTTTCCGTCCATCCAAAGAGACCGAGGATCAAGTATGGTTTCCATCCCAAGCATAATACCAAGCCATGTACAAGCTCACATACGAGTACGATACGAAAACACCTACAAGCTAGAACCAGACAGGCGATTCAACGTCAGAGAAGTCAAGGAAATTCTAAACGAAACCCTGGAAGAGTCACTACAAGATGTGAAGTACGAGGCTGCCAAGTGCAAAGCCCTTTGCAAGTCTTTGTCTCACACGATCTCCGAGAGAGTCAAGCTTCTTGGGTTTAAGCGTTTCAAGTACGTAGCTACTGTTACGATTGGAGAGATGAAAGGTCAAGGAGTGCGTATTGCGAGCAGATTCTTGTGGAATGAGAAACATGATAACTGGGTTGATGCTGTCTTTACAAACTCTGAGCTCTTTGCAGTAGGTGTGGTTTACGCTGTTTATCAAGAATGAATATTGAAATCTTTTTATTTCATAATTTATCTCCAGAAAACTGGAGTTTCGCACGATGCCAAAAGCCAGAGTTGTGCTTTGTGATCTCTTCGAGTTTGGACATTATCCATTCATTTTATATTTTTCTTAATTCATTCGCTCTTCCTACCTTTTTACTATCTTTTAGATAGTGAGTCCCCCCCCACGTATTACATATGTCAATTTTGTTATTAGGCGCAGGTTTTGATAATCCCACTCACGCAATCATTATGTTGGTTTGACTTCACTCTTTTAACTGTAAGTACACGACCCAAGCATCAGCATTCTGGATTTCCTGCATTGTATACAAGAAAGAATATATTATACTTATTATATAATTACCAATGAAATATCTATTTTTCTCTATTTCGGAAAATTGATATCTTCACACGTGTGAAAATAACACCATTGCGATGGCTATTCAAAAATACACGGAAAGAATTGCCTGAAAAAGCCAAAACATACTTTCATTGATAATTATATAATAAACAGAATATTACATGGGCGCTTGGAGATACGAAATTTATCTTCTCATGTTGAAAATCTCTCACTCGTTCGCTGCGCTCACTTGTGAGAGATCTTTTCAACACTGATGATAAATTTCGTATCTCCGCGCGCCCATGTAATATCCTCTATTTGCTTACACCGTTGTTATTTTTTCACTTTTCTTGGTGTTTATTTTCATTTGTTTCTTCAACATATAATCACAACTCGGTTCAAGATGATTAAATTATTATATAATATACCTTCAACTTTTTTCTTTCACCTGTTCTGATTCACATCTGTCCTTATCATTCAATTCTTATTATTATCATAACAAGTTTATCAAATATTGTCAACATTTTTGGCTATTCTAAGTGCCAATAACTCAAACATTTATCTTTGTCAATAAATATATTTTTGAATGAACAAGACATTATTGCCTCACTTGTCTTTAACAATTGCAAGATAGTATCATTACTGGTACTATATTTTTATTATTTCAAGTTTTCATTTTTCTTATTCAATACAATCCATCACCATAATCCATTCCCATCATAGAGAGAACCATAGAATGAGCAAAGCTGTCACTATCAGTCTCCCCTGCGATAATCCTCAGTCTGGGACGTCTGCGCCTCAAGCGGTACACTGTGCTACGTTCAATGGCACTTTGATCCGTCACACAAATCTGCCTCAAGTTTGGAAGAATATCATCTTCAAAGAGCATCTTCATGGTCTTGTCTGTAAGGTCACCACTAATCTTGTCATTTCCACTAACATTCAGCTCCTCAAGAAGAGGACATTTTGTCATAATATCAATCATAGCTTTGTCAGTTACACGAGTTGCAGACTCCAGTCGCAGTTTGCGCAGGTTGGGACAGTGGGATGCAAGATGCTGTACAGAGGTGTCAGTGAGGTGTGAGCCACACCCACTGTCACTGGAACCAAGCTCGAGGACTACAAGTTGGTCACCCCATAAGTCAACTACTTTGGTAAGATCATCATCCATAATTGAGAAGTAACTTCCAAAAGAAAGCCTACGTAACTGTTAAAAAAAAGATTTTTAATTCTTTGGAAAATGATAATGAGGTTGGTCTTTACCAACATCATCAATGACCACCATTGCTACTACCATCATCATCATCACTACCATCATCATCATCACTACCATCATCATCAACCCACTTCTCACGCAAATACATGACATTACTTTAGTATGAAAGGGAAGTATCTTACTGGTTTCTTGACACTTATAAACTCCTCAAATTTCCTCCTGTTCTCGAAGTGTGCACTTGGCTCAACCTTGTGGAACTTGTGGCTCGATTCATATGAGGGTGGGATATAAACATCAAATGCATCTTCATGTGCATCACATGCTTCACCACTATTCCTGCAGCACTTTCCACACATATTATTATCACAGTCCCTCTTCTTCTGATTTGGACACCCTTTTCCAATGCACTTCCTGGACTGGGGATTTTGATTTGCTTTATTTGCTTCTGTGATTTGCTTGGCCTCTTGGTCTGATACTTCTTGGATCTTCTTATGATGGTTTAAGGTCCTTGGTGTGCTGATTTTAAGTGGTTCCTTTACGCCAAATGTCTCACCTGCCATGACAAAAACCTATGGTTAAAACCAAATTTCTGTGTGCAGCACCTCATGACAAGGTTACCGTAATGAATAAAGGTAACAAATAGACAAAAAAAGTCCTTTGGCTCCCCAACTCCATTTCTTTTTTTTTTTCTGGGGAGAACAGAGTTGGGGAGCAAAAACACACATGTTTTCTCAGGCTGCCTCTATTTAGGGTATTAAAAAGATTGATAATTTTAATTAGAATTTTCCTTCCTATAATTATTTTTATATGCAATTTAAAAAAGTTCCAGACATCTAGGGGTTTGGCTATGGACAATCAAAAATAGGAGACCATTGGATATTGATTGACAGAAACCAAGAAACCAGATATCTGATTCGCTGTGATGATTGCATTTTTTACTTGAAAAAGGGTAATAAATATTTAAAGAAAGTTTAGGTTTCTTTCTATGTGAATCTATGTCCTAAGAGTTAATAGCTTAGGTTTCTTCTTTTTCATGTGAATCTAATGGCTTACCCAGCTCAGTTAGCAACTCAGGCTTCCACAGATTATCAGTTGCCTTCTTGAAAAACTTTACTTTGTCTTCCTCGCTCCATTCAAGCTTTCTCTGCAGCCCAGAGAACATTATAAAGGCAACACCTTCATCAGCCTCCACTGGACAGTGGCACTCTGCAGTCTTGCATCGGCAATCAAAGGAGTCCTTTTCACCAGTTGCCACTAGATAGTCATGGACAAGTTGGCCCAATTTTTCAGCATCCTTGATTTCTTTTCCAACACTGTGGAAGAACTCAATAGCATCAACATTGAAACCATTTTCTTCAATCTTTTGCAACAAAGTACCAATGGCTTCAGATTTCCATGTTGTTGGGTCTTTCTCCTGTGCTGCCAGAACTGTACACGCAAGGTGTTGTTCCAAAGAGTGTACTCTTTCAGGTGCATTGCAGATTGTAAGGATAAGTGATGTCAAATCTGCTTCACATTTTTCAACAATCATCATCAGCAATGAAGCAACAACGTGGGAGTCAGGTTTCCACATCCTCAGAGCATCACCAAGAATTTTACTCGTGAGAAAGTCATATTCATCATATTCTTTGACATCAACCTTTGTTAGAGTAGTAATTAGTGTGAATATATCCTCAGGACTCCAGGCTTTCAAGCTGTAGCCTTTCAGCTTTTGTGAAAATTCTTGGAGTTGCTCTTCTTCTTCTTCTTCCAGGTCATAACACTGTTCACTGTCGTTTGAATTCTTGCTGTCATTGTTGTTTTCTGAATCGAAAGGTGAATGCATTAATTAATAATGGCATAATTTATAATTAATTTTGACTTAAAAATCAACAGATAATCTTACCATCTTTGGATTGCTGGAATGTCTTCCACATTTCAAGAACTTTTTCCAAGGAGACCTCCTCTTTCTCCTTCTCATCTTCACTGTCATCCTTCTCTTCCTGGCCGGGTGTTGGAGCACCAGCAATGGCAGCCGCAAGCAGCAGGTTCATATTTGGGTTGAGTGAACAAATCAAACTAGATCCTTTAGAAAATATTTAAACAAAAGTAAAAAAGATAAAAAAATAAACCAATGGTGATGAAAAATTGATTTCTATACAGCATTTATATCTTTGACAGTTAAAGAAAAAAATAGCCTGAGTAGTGGCTTTTTGTGTGGGGTGGTCGATGAAAATGAAGTGAGAAACAAAGAAAAAAGTTGCCAATATATACTAGCAAAATAAATGTATAATGTATTGTCCCTACCTATGATAGCTGCCATGGGACTCATATCAAACCTTCAATAAAAAATGCACATTAACATACACTAAACAATAATATATTTATTACAAAGAATGTAAACTGTCAATCAATGTAGAGTAATTATTATTTACATGTCATCTTCAGGACAAGGATGTTTGAACCAACAATCAGCTCCAAAATGACATCTATCTTCCATATAGTACCTGCAGATCTAGACAGTATAATTTCATCTTTATTATGTTTGTGGATTTTTAGATATATAATGAGTCCTTTACTGCTAGACATGTTTCGGCAGTCCAGCTGCCATCATCAGTAGTAGATCTCACTATGTTAATCCTTCTGTGAGATGCACACTTATTTAGGTGTGATTGCCTTCCCCCTCCCCCCTCCCCTCCCCCCTCAACCCCATGGAGTATGTAAGGCCTAAAGTTTAGTCTTCTTTTCCTTGCATAAAGTACCTCATGTTCTCCCTGTATGAAAACCAAAGCCCCATTCCATATGCATCAATTCCCTTTCCTAAATATTACTAATAATATAGACAGTATTTATCTATGCTTACTGGTATGTCATCTGGATTATGAGAAAACTTGCAGTCATTGCCTTCACGGCAATCCCCCTTTGCAAAATACCTGAAAATTAAATATAACATAAACTATGTACTGCACAAAACAAAAAAATATGCAGGTTTTGGCCCTTTTCGATGTAATATGTGGAGGAAACTTTATGATCAAATCTTTATACCTGCAAAATCCATTGCGCTTTCTGCAACAAAGATAAAGGAAAAATATAATAAAATAATGAGTTAATGTTAGCGCCTAAAGAACAACGAACAAAAATAAGATTCCCACACCAATTGATTTCTCATTTTAAAAACTGCCGGCCGATGATATGTCTAATTCTTTTGCTTCACTAAAGAAAGTAAATATCTGTGCTAATAACGACCGATCGAGGTTCAAAATAAATCGCGTTTTGAACTCATATTTTTATTCAAAATTTGAGCAAAAAAACAAAACATCTTTTGTTAATTTTTGGATAAAACTATAGAACTATTAATATTATTTCCAACATGTTTGTTTGTCACTAAATTATAGTGTATTTTCGTGATATTTACCTTTCGTTTTCTGACAACGCATCAACTCTTGACGCCATTTTGTAACGTTTGTAGATTTCTGTTCAAAATCTCCCGCGATTGATTTTTCCCGCGAAACCATTACCTTATATAGTCATACCGCAAACACGTGATTCCCATGAAGCTCCCGCGTTGTTTACCCACAGGAAGCCCAAGCAATGTACTTGTACACTGTACAAAGGAATGTATGTGGAATTATGTATCGTAAGAAAATCTATGATAATTTTTGTAGTTTGCTTGCCAATTTTTTCTTGTTTGTTTTTGCTGCTGTACGTTGTATCTGTACGCGATTTGGAGCCAATCCAACGAGTTTTTACGCCTTCTAGCCCCCAGCACACCCCCCCCCCCCTCTCCCCCCACACACACCTGTTACGAGAATTACATTTTTGTTTTGCCGGGATTTTTATTTCGTCTAGGAATTATCTTAAGGGTGGGGTAGCTACCGATCATGTGACTATAAAAGACAGGAATGGCTCCACAAGGATTACCCCACTGGCAAGGCAAGTTATTGGATCATGGATATGGACGATGGTTGATAGGAATGGTTATGCCCTTGTCATTCTGATCATAATTAGATGAAATTAAACCTGGAACAACTTGAGGTGATGAAAGGAAATATGGCTCCTCTGTGAGATACAAGAACCTTTTCACATGACGTCACAGCGGCCAATGTTGGTATTACTACCTAAACAATACATTTTCTATCCAGGGAATTAACATCTCTATTTTCTAGCAAAAACTGTGCAGAAAGGGCCCATAATCACTGCAACCATTCCTGGTAATAGCGTTTAGGAACAGGAATGGCTCCTTCAAGCAAGCTTATAGTTTATGTATTACTAATGTTACTAATTGTTTTTTGGAGCCATTCCTGTCTCTAGACACAATGGTAATGATAATGGTAGAGTAAATCTCAATGGCCCCCTTCCCTGGCAATATGCAACCAGCCCCTAAAGCCAACAACTCAAACCTTTATAAATTTATTTTCCTTAATAAATGCATTATAGGATGAACAAGAAACTAATATTTGCTTGCTTGTCTTTAACCATTGCTGTCTAAAGATTAAGGATCATTGCTTGTTCAATATTTTTCTTTTTCACAGTTCTTATTTTCCTTATTTAAAACAGACCATCACCATAATCCATTCCCATCATTGAGAGAACCATAGAATGAGCAAAGCTGTCACTATCAGTCTCCCCTGCAATAATCCTTAGTCTGTGACGCTTGCTTCTCAAGCGATACACTGTGTTATGTTTGATGGCAATTTGGTCCGTCACACAAATCTGCTTCAAGTTTGGAAGAACATCTTTTTCAAAGAGCAACTTCATGGTCTTATCAGTAAGTTTGCCACTGCTCTTGTCATTTCCACTAACATGCAGCTCCTCAAGAAGAGGACATTTTGTCATAATATCAATCATAGCTTTGTCAGTCACACGAGTTGCAGACTCCAGTCGCAGTTTGCGCAGGTTGGGACAGTGGGATGCAAGATGCTGTACAGAGGTGTCAGTGAGGTATGAACCACACCCACTATCACTTGAACCAAGCTCTAGGACTACAAGTTGGTCACCCCATAAGTCAACTACTTTGGTAAGGTCATCATCCATGACTGAGAAGTCACTTCCAAAAGTAAGCCTACGTAACTGAAAAATTAAGAGAAAGATTTTTAAATGCGGAGCCCTCTGCCTATCTTTCACAGCCTTTTTTTCTGCAATCCATATTTTTTTCAGTCCGAGAACTAGTTATAGCTCATCCAGGGAGATCATACATAATGCTAGTAGGTGGGGCTCTGCTTTCGCATTGTCATCATTTATTGCTACCACCATCTTTATCACCACCATGCATTGAATCATCAATACCACCAAGGACGTACCACTAATAACTTTATATTATCATCACCACCATCACTGACAAACACTATTGCCTTTCATGAGGATGACTCAATCTACATGTGCTATAAGGTAAGTTCTGATCTAGCTTCCAATGCACATTGTATATAGTTAATTAAAAATACATTAGTTGATAATTAAGGTAAATATCTTACAGGTTTCTTGACACTTATGACCTCCTCAAACTTCTTTCTGTTTTCAAGGTGTGCACTGGGCTGAACCTTGTGGAACTCCTCGCTTGATTCATATGAGGGTGGGGCGTAAACGTCAAATGCATCTTTATGTACACCATGTGCTGCACAAGCTTTACCACAATTTTCGCAGCACTTTTTACACATATTGTTATCGCAGTCCTTCCTCTTATTTTTTCGACATTCCTTTCTATGACACTTCCTGAAGTGAGGAATTGAATTTGCTTTAGGAAATATTCATACCATTCATTTTTGATTGGGGACGGAGGTATCATTAACTTGAAAACCCATACAAGAAATATACCCCCCCCCCCCCTTCTGTTGCTGCATAGTAAATGAACCCTCCCTTGCTTTCCGTTATGTTTGTTGTAAAAGTGGTGTGGACTCTAATTCTTTTGTGTGCCMCCCTCTTAAAWCTKATTTTGATTACCYCCYTCCHCYCCCCCCCCCCCCAATAAAATCCCAACCGAATCCCCACCAAATTCAGTCTGTGATATGCTTGCTGGTTAAATTATTGAGTTGATGCAAACGCATTTGAGTCGCACAAGAATTGAAAACCTTCTGATAACGTGTCTACCGATTGATATGAGGTCAAAAGTAATCAAATCTCGTCATGTTTTGTGAATGCGTTTTTCAAAACGATTGATTTGAAATTTGAGCAAGAAAACAAATGATCTTTTGTTAATTTTTGGACACAAATATAGAACTGTTCTTATTATTTCCAACATGTTATAAATGTCGCTAAATTCGAGCGTATTCTTGTGATATTTACCTCTCGTTTTCTGACGACGTACCAGCTTTAGCTTTCGACGCCATTTTGTAACGGTTATTGATTTCTGTTCAAAATCTCCCGCGATTAATTTTTTCCCGCGAAACCATTACCTTATATAGTCATGTCACGAACAAGTACATGCATGGCGCACAGCTGATGCTACCCATTTGCGCATGAACAAGACTTCCAAAATGGCGGATGTTTTGCTACGAAGATTTTTATTTTTCAATCTTTCTTATTCGAGAAAATGCATAATATTGAAGGCATTGAGAGGTGGTTTTGCTACAGAAGCTAGTAGTAATGTAGATCTTTTAAGCAATGTATCGTTTTTGACGAATGATTGTACGATAGAGGAGCTAGAGGCAGTGCAGGACATGGTGTCTGGGAATCTGGAAGTTTACGAAAACTTCGTCAGTGAAGAGGAAGAGGACCGACTTATCAAGGAAGTAGAGCCGTATTTGAAAACACAGAAGTATCAGTTTGACCACTGGGATGGAGTAAGTAAAGGATTTCACTCCTGTCACTTTAAAGCATGAAATATTCTTACCCTAATCATTGTCAACTTGCTCCTTTTTTTTTATCCCACTTCCTAAGGACTCAAAAAATCCCTTGTGATTGTAGAAGAAATCTTCTGGGTAACATTAAACTGGGATGTAGGCATCTCTATTTTTCTCCCTTTATGCATTGTGCTGGTAATTAATAACCAAGATCGGGGGACTGTGAGAAAAACTCATACCCCCCTCTCCTCCCGCGAATCTTCTAAGTTTCCATCTTCTTCACCGGCAACAGAAATTCCAAAGGAAATAAAGATAAAAGGAGAAATACATGTACATGAGAATGAGGCCAATAGGGTATATTTACGGTGCATTAATGTACCAAGTCTGGTTAAACAGTCACTTCACTAGCATGCAACTATATATTGATTCCTTTCTGTGGGGAGAGGTCTGGACATCTCCTGCAACCTCACTTCATTTGTATTCTAGGCAATCAAAGGTTATAGAGAAACAGAAAAGTCAAGATGGACAGATGATTGTTTGAGAGTATTCAAAAGAATGAGGGATACATCTTTCAAACCAAACACTAAGCTATTATCTCATGTTCATGTGCTGGATTTAGATGGAAATGGGTGAGTTATATTAGTGTTTGATGGGTGCTATAGAATTCCAGAAAACTGAATCTGTGGTTGGTCTTTTGTGGACCTTTCTCAAAAACTTATCTTTTGTGAGGCCACCATGGAAATACAAAAGAAATGCCACAGACTCTATTGAGAAAAAGTCTGATTTCTTTTGTATATTCGTGTTATCCTTTTTAAATTATTTTTGAGAAGGGTGCATTGTTATCCCTAGAGACCTAGCACATGAGGATTGCAAGTCCAGGACAGTGATGCTAGGATGACAGAAGCCCATGAAAAAATCATTTTAAAAACATGCTTGAGTCATCATTTTGGCTTCGTCGTCCTTGATGCTTGTCGATGTATAAAGTATCTTTCATAAAAATGGAAAGTAAAAATATGATTATGCTTCTCTCTCCAGGTACATCAAACCTCATATTGACAGTGTGAAGGTAACACTAATTTATCAACGTACACTATATATCTGTGAAACAGTACTTGTTATTAGCACTTATACTTGATGATACGGATTTACAATAGACAACATGTCTGATGATTCCATTTTTTTCCATGCATTTTTATTGATGTGTTCTAATACTGGTAATATATTGTATTTGGTACTTCTGATTGCCTTTCAGTTCTGTGGTCCTACTATTGCAGGTCTCAGTCTGTTATCGTCATCTGTAATGAGACTCATTCACGAAAAATATAGTTCTGTTACTGTTGACCTTTTACTTCCAAGAAGATCAATGTATATCCTGAGGTATGTGTGGATTGTTTTGCATTACCACTGTTTTCATTGCTAATGATACAAAAATCACAATGCACACATGTACATGTCCTTTGAGAATATGACTCTTTGTTTCATTTGCAAACAACCAAGCAAAGAAATGATACTCAAGGGAATGACATGTAGTCTGAAATGGGCCAAACATTATGCCCAAACTAAAGAGATCTATTGGACTACGTTCATGCAAATGAATCATTAGTGAGCTGACAGTGCAATGGTATATGGAACAGATTTATTTAAATGATATTTGTCTACTGCGCAAAAATATTGTGAGTTTTGTCTTGATCAACAAGTAGCAATGAAATTGGAGCCGATATAAAAACCAGTTCCCAGGGTTTTGTTTTACAGACTAAAACTCCATTACCAAAGGATTTCCCATAACCTGAAATTTCTCCTTGAACTTATTCTCCCTCAGGGCATACGCATGCCCTTAGCAACTACACAGAGTTAATTAGCAAACGTTCCTTTATTTTTCAAATTTATAGTAAACTTAATTTTATTGTTGTAATAATTTCTTTTAGAGATTCTATTAGATATGAATTTACCCATGAAGTACTAGAGGACAAGACATCAAGATGGAAAGGAGAGCATATCCCCAGAGACAGAAGAATATCGGTTATACTGAGGTGTCAACCATGAGGTGACAGTAATGTTCTATAAGGTACTACGATACACAATCCTATTGACATGAAGGTTATATGTTATACTGAGGTGTCAACCATGAGCTGACAGTAATGTTCTATTTAAGCAATAGAAAACTTTTTCCGTGTTTACATAGCCTGATAGCAACACGAGGGGAGGTTGGGAGAATTCTCCCAACCCCCCGAGTGTTGCTATCAGGCTATGTAAACACAGAGAAAAAAGTTTTCTATTGCTTTTATAAAATAAATACTAAGGGAAAACATTACCACTTGCAAGAAAATAAATCTTTATTTGAATTTGATTCTCATATCAAAATACAAATTCTCCATACTTCACGAACTTCGATCGTTAGCCAATCAAATTTTGTGTAATAAACGCCAAGGAGGCAAATGTGAAGCGAGAAAGAATCGCTAGCTATTTTAAACATTTATCATTCTAAAACTTTAAAACAAATACAAAGAAATGTCCAAAGATTGAATAGAAATCTTAATAAGAGATTTCAGAATTGATTATCTTTACGAAAGTGATCAAAAGTGGATAACAAGTGTCGCTGTGAATGGAATTCTCGGTTGAAAGAAACGTGGTTTTGCTCAATTTGACAGCGAGAAAACATGGCAGCGAAGTTGATTGTTTCGTCTTGCCTCGAGAAGATATTTTGTGGAGCTTAAGAGCTATCGCTGGAAAAAGTTTGAAGCTGCTGACTGTTTCCTTGAAATACATGTATTCTTTATCGGGCGGTGCATTTAAATCATGAGAAAGCACGTCACTGAACAACCGCAGCTGTCCTGACGGAGGACGTGTGTTGTAGCTCCTGAGGGAATTCTCTTTGCGGTGACCAACGAGAGATTGTCGTGATATTACGATCAGAAAGACCTACATGAGACCATAGGGTTATGCCTATGGCCCTGACACAAGTCAAAATTTGGAACTTCGTCTTCAAAATACATTTTTGGGGGCGTTTTTTTCCTCGAAAGAAACTGTAAATTTTTAATTTTTGAACTTGTACTGGGAAAACACGAAAGTTGTGACGTCACAACTGTGTTTACATATCCTCATGCAAACATGGCTATCAACCAATCACAGAGTGCGTACTATTTAATTTATTTTATAAAAGGTACTACGATACACAATCCTATTGACATGAAGGTTATACGTTATACTGAGGTGTCAACCATGAGGTGACAGTAATGTTCTAAGGTACTACGA